TACTATATTGAAGTTATAATCCATGAGATCTATTCTTATTCTAGTTAGTTTTGATGATGGGTTCTTATGCGTAAATAGACTAACTAAAGGTCTGTGATCTGTATAAACTGTAAAATTTCTCCCAAATAAATATGGTCTAAAATAATTTATACCCCAATGAATGGCAAGAAGTTCCTTCTCTATCACGGGTTTATTTAACTCATATTTATTTAATGTTTTGCTTGCAAATGCTATTGGTTTATCATTACCAATTTCTCCTTGTGACAGTACTGCACCTAATGCATAATTAGAAGCATCTGTCGTTAAAACGAATGGTTTTGAAAAATCTGGATAGCTTAAGATTGGTGGTGAAATTAACTTTTCTCTTAAACTATTAAAAGATTTATCACATTCTTCCGACCAGCAGAATATTTGATTTTTCTTAAGCAAGTTGTTTAGAGGTCTGGCTATTTCAGCAAAATCTTTTATAAACCTTCGATAATAGTTGCACATTGCTACAAACCTTCTCACTTCGTCTGAGTTTTTTGGTATAGGGTAATGTTTTATTACATCGTGTTTATTTGGATCTGTACGCACACCTTTTGCGGTTATAAGATGACCTAGATATACTACTTCTGGTTTAAGAAAATTACATTTTTCAGGGTTAAGTTTAAGATTATATTGTTGTAATCTACTAAATACTTTTATTAAATTGTTATTGTGTTCTTTGAGATTAGAACCAAAAACTATTACATCATCTACATATAAAAATGCTGAGGAGTCTAAACCTGCTAATGCTAATGTTAGCATTCTTTGAAAACTATTTGTTGAGATTTTTAATCCAAAAGGTAATCTCTTGAATTGAAAATGACCTGTTTCTGTTGAAAAAGCTGTTAAAGGTTTTGATTTGTGATTAAGTGGGATTTGATGAAATGAACTAATCATATCTAATGTAGAGAAATATTTCGCCTTACCTAACTTATCTAGAACATCTTCCAAACGTGTTAGTGGAAATTTATCGTCTACTACTTTTTTATTTAACTGTCTGAAATCTACAACTAATCTCCATTTTTCTTGTCCCTTTTTTGGTACTATTAAAATTGGTGAGTTGTAAGGACTTACTGATGGTTCTATTATATCATTATTTAATAACTTTTTTACTTGCTTTTCTAGTTCTTCCTTTTGAATGTTCGGTATCCTATAATTCTTTATATATAGGTGTTTTATCTATTGTTGATATGTGCTGTTCATAAAAATTGTTTGTAGTTAATTTCTCTCCTTCTATATGAAAAATGTTTTGGAAATCTTTACAAATATTCAATATTGAATTTTTGGCTATGTTATCTAAACCATCTATTTTTAATTTCGATTTAATTTTTTCAAATGTATATGAATTTCGATTAGAATTATATGAAAGTATGTTATAATTATTTAAAGGTGTTATTTCTATTGTTGCATATTCTAATTCTACAGGTGTGTCTCTAGTATTTAATAACCTAATATGTTGTATACCTTTGGCAGGTATTAATGAATTAGCTATGAATACTCCTTTCACTATTTCTTTTCCACAGACTAAACTGTCTTCTTTTGTATTTAGTTCAACTACTTGAATTACTTCTACCCTGGGCGGTATTTTGATGTTTTTAATGGTTTTTATTTTTATATTCAAGGGTAAGACTATCTCATCTTCTGAGTTTGAGATCACTAATACGCATGTTTCATAATTTATTTTACAATTATGTTTTATCAAAAAATCTCTACCTAATATACCATCTGTAGGTAAATTTATATTATTTTTTATGACATTGAATTTGTGAGGTATTGTTTTACCATCAAAAAATAAATTTATATCTATTAAACCTTCTGTGGTTGTTTTTCCTGTTGTTATGCCATTTATTTGGCAGTTTTTTGTGTTATCAAAATTGCTCTTCCCTATTATACCTTTTTTTATTACTGATATCTCTGCCCCTGTGTCTACTAATAAAGTTATATACTTATTGCTACAAGAAGTTTTAACATTAATACTATTATCAATGTTTTCTATCGTTTTAAAATGTATTATTTGTTTTTGTTCTGGTTGTAATTGTTTCGATTGTTGTAACCATTGTTTTGGTTGTGACCTAGGTTGTGATTTGGATACTGCTTTAGGTTGTGCCCCGGGGTTCGTGAACCGGGGGTGTTCCAGTTTTTTTGATTATTGGAATTGTTGTATTGGTTTGATGCATTCCTATTGAAATTTCCATTCGCATTTCTGTTATTATTCGAGAATCCGTTCCTTTGTTGAAAATTCCTGTTTGGTTGCTGTTGTATCATGCTTCTATTTTGTGTTTCTACACTTAGAGCAATTTGTACAGCTTCGTTTAGAGTAGTTGGCCTTGCTGCTGCTACTATATTTCTAAGTCTCTCATTGAGTCCATTGGTGAATGCATTTAATCCTGTGAGATCTGTTATTTTCATTATTACTTGTTTATTTTGGTCACCCTGAGTAGCTATATATATTTGGTTTAAAATTGCTATTTGTTCCTCAATTTTAGAAACAAAATGTGCAACAGTTTGGGTACCTTGTCGCAAACGTGCTAAATTATTCTGGACTGTTAATGGATTTTGATTAGGTTTATAGATATTTTTCAGCTTTTGAATAAATTTTGGTATTGTGTCGTCTTCTTCTTCTGAAATGAGTTTGATAATTTAGTTGACTTAACAAACCGAAGTAAGATGGATCTCTCGATTTCATCTTTAAGTGATTCAGAATAAAATTGTAAAATGCCTATAAAGTTTGATAAACTTTTAGCATTACCATTGAATTCTGGTATTACTTTTGAAGCTGTAATTAAATCAAAATTAGCCATTTTTGCTTTAATATTGTCTATGGGTCTATTTAATTGTTCTGTGTTTGACTTAGGTTGCAAATATTTTTCTATCTGCTCTACTAAACTATCAAATTCCAACCTTAAATTCTTGATATCTTTGATATCTGTATTTTCTTCTATATCTAACCAGATTTGATGTATTATTAGTTTTGTCTTCACTATGTACTGTTTCGTGTAAACTCTATTTGGAGTTTTCTTTAAATTTTTTAATATTTTTCTTAAGTCAATTAAATCCATATGACATTAAATTTATTGCTTATGCAAAGTATTTGCTAATAATATAATGAAGCAAAAATATTACAATAATTATTATTGAAATTACAAATGAAATTATCAGTATCATATAAATGTGTTCATTAATTTTGTCATGATCTGATCTGGAGTACATTATTGGAAAAAATTTTTATATTATTTTACAAAGTTTGAAAAAAAATATATTTTTTTTTATATATAATTTTTATTTAATTTTTATACCTAAACATTAGCATTTCTAACTGCTTGTTTTTTAATATACTTTTTAAAATGTGAATTAATTTTTATTATTATT